TGCTTGATTGAAAACAAAGTTAACAGCAAAGCCTTCAAGCGTTCACTTATGAAACACACGTCAAGTGACGCCCCAGCTGCGGAGGGCGCGTTGCCAGAGGCATCTCTAGAAAAGGCAAATTTCATCCAGTCTCCCTGTTGAGTCACCTTCAGTTTCTCCCTCTGCCAAGATCAAGTGCTAGCTTTTCAGAACAACTCAGCCCTTCTCGTCTCTGAGTAAGGGGAGGCCTGCCTCTAACCTCCGCTTCCTCTTCGCCAAGTTACCCTTCTGCCTGTGCCTCAGTTTCCACAAGTGCAGAGCGAGGATGACCCTAGTCACCTACCCACAGCTGGTGTAAGAGTTCAGACGCACTGTCCGGACTCCAGCCACACTAAAATATACATAAAGGTCTTGAACTCACTGTACTTCCTCAGGCCTTCAGGTTCTTGTACCGGCTGTCCCCTCTGCCCAGAACTCCCTTTCTCTGCCTCGGGTACCTATGAATGGTTACATTTTACGTATTCATTAGGACCCAACTCAAATACTTCCTCCTCCGGGAAGCTTTCCTGACCCACTCAGCACGGTGGAGCATGACTTCCTTGTGCCTCCAGATACCAGTGCGCTGTCTGCAGTACCTCCTTCTCGCTTGTCACATTGAAACCCAGCTGCATCTCTACAATATGTCTCTTGTGCTAGAGAGCATGGACCACGCTTGTTTGCCTGCAACCAGCACAGCACTGGGCACAAAGCAGGCACTCAAAACGTATTTGCTGAATGAACAAATACATACAGAAGGGGTGGGGACAGACAAACCACAGACTCTCACTGGTGATGGCCTCAGCGCTATGGGTCCCACTTAGAATCCCCTGCTGACACTGTCAACCTGGACTTCAACATAAAGGAAAATCACTGTAGGCAAAACATTAAAACAGCATTTCCCAATCTTTGGTCATTTGAAAAGCATCTTCAAGATGTGCCATCTCGGCACACCACCTATTATCAGCTGTTTTCTTAAACTGACCTTCTCTTTTTCCCCTTCACAGTATGTATTTCAGAAGGAAACTTCACATTACTAGCACACATGAACATCAGTATCACTTGCCATATACAGAAAGTAACCAGAAAAAGGAATATAATAAAAATGAAATACTCTCAAATTCTACCTACATACAATAGCATGCCTGAGGTTTTTTGTGAAAAAGGGACACCACCCACAGGTGTTTGAGGTAGATGTTAAAAGCATATTAAAACTATACTCAGCCATGTCAAAAGGAATAGACAAGGGTTAAAAAGAGAAAACCTTCCTCATTTGCTAATTCAATCCTACTTACCATAGCGGGTTACGACTGAAAATCAGCACACGAGAACACTCAGCCAGACTAAAGCCAGAATTCCAAGGCCAGGGAAAGCCTCGTCAATCCCCATGGCATGTTGGCTGGACCTTTCACTCAGGGCAGCCAGAGGCATCCCTCATCCAGCAGTAAGTTACCCATCACCTCTTCCAGGAGGATTTGAGACGAACAGCACACAAGCTGAGCCAGTTTGGGCCCCAAGTCTTCCAAAAAGGACAGGCCCAGAGGCCCTGCGTCCCAGGCACAGTCGGGTGCTAACTGCCAGCAGCTGGCAACTGTCATGGATTAATAATCACTCAATGTGCCTCTCCCCCCAGCTCCTTCCTCAGTGCCTATTAGCCCATTCTCATCTGTTCCTGGGGCCTAAATTGCTTGAGCACATTTCATAGCACACAGTGGAAGGCTGCTATCCATCTAGAGTGAGACTGGAAAAAAAAAAAGGGACTCAGAAGTTGTCACTTTCCATGCTCTGCCCGCAGAGGTTCCCCGAACACCCGAGGTAATCAGTGACCACCTGCTAAGGGGCACTTCCTCCCCAGCACCAGGCTGACGGCTGGAGGAGGCAGAAGAGCCAACAAGCCCTGCCCCCAGGAAGTTACAATCCCTTCATGGTTTCTCTTCACAACCTCCCTCTCACCAGCAGTCCTGGGACACCAGAAGCTGTGAATGACCTGTCAAGCTGAATGTCACCGTCTCCATCCCCATTCTCCACCGGGCCTGGAAGGATGTTAGTGATAAGGGTTGGGACAGGTAGCAAAAAAGACACTATAAAGCTGGGGCACAGGCTGCAAGATACCTTGTTTTCCCAAGTAATACAACCAAAGTGTGTACACCCCAGGATGAATCCTCAGAAAGGACCAGGCTTGTTACAGTTACCTGATCACGTCAGTCAAAGCTGATCAACAAAGGGATTATGTCAGACTATTAAGCCTTTACAAAAGGCATCAAGAGAGTCGATCCTCCGATCCATGCTGTACATTAGGAATGCCCAGCAGCACGACCAACCACGGACACAACAGGTGTTCACGGTGCAGAACCAACTGTCCCTTATATTTATGGCTGCTGAACACCCCTGCTCCCCACACCAGGACCCTTGCAGCCTAAATGCCAGCAGTGGCGTCCCAGTCATTGTGGTGACCAACAGACACCCTCACAGTCTCCCAAAGCCTTCCGATTAAAGACCACTGGAACTGGCTCTTGGCCAGAATGTCAATGCAAGTGGAGAAGCAGGATCAAAGAAAGACAGACAGACAACAAGTGAATGGCAGAGCCAGGCAGCCTCGTGCACCAGGACTGTGGCCCAAGAATTTGCCTGCACTGCTCTGAGCAACAGGGACAAACTGTTAAGGGGGAAAAATGATGCCACTAACCATGAAGTCCAGACCAAACTGCAGAGTCACTTTACTTTTCAAAACAAAGCTATAAAGGGTGGAAAGGGAGGAAACAAGGTTAACAAAATATTGATACGTGTTAAAACTGAGTGTTGGGAAAAAGAAGGTTCATCGTTCTGTTTTCTCAATTTGGGGGAGTGTGAAAACT